AAAAAAAAAAACTTTGATCTTTTGTCGTCGTAAAATTTTGCAAAATTTTAGCAAAACGATCGAATATCGATTAATTTTTCATTGTTATAAATAGAACCCTCTTGCGCGATTAATCTTATATTATCGATAATTTCAAAAATTTCATCGGTGCAAAACAAATTTTCATTCGTAACAACGATTTGGTAACGAAATATATGAAGTAAATATAGAAAATAATAAATTATAGAAAATTAGAATTGACAAATTATCGTGCGAGAGAGTTCAAATATCAATTTATGAGTTACGATCTTTTGTTAAATAGCGATACATAAAAACGTGCGCTATAACATGATCACAATCTTTCTCGAACATCGATAAACAAATTAAGGTGACTAACAAATATCTTTTACAGGGAAACACGCCAGACATATCTGTTATAATATTCACATTTCAATTACTCCGCCTTATAAAACTCATCAAATTCATAGACGTAGTTCCTTTGATGATTGGAATTCACATGACCATCATAAGTATGTTTTACTGCAATTGTAAAAAACGCAAACGACAATCAACAATTTCAATCGCAGATTCATTATTAATATCATCGAACTCGCAGTCGAATATTGCATGGAGATCTACATAAATTGCGTGATTTCAATGATTTCAATGTTCATTAATTAATAATGAAAAGTAGATACAAATAGTGAATGAAAGATTATGGTATATCTACGCCCTCTTGTGCAATAATTTATGAAATTTGTAAAATTTATTCCGCAAAATTTCGTTTCTATTAAATTTTTTTATTTTGTTGCATGAAAATTATTTACAAGTAGCTTATAGCTTATCACTTATAAAATTTTGCTAATAATATCAGTCTTATTGTTCAAGAGGGTTTTGACAACATTTCGTATCTATTGAATTATTTAAAACGTTAAAAATAATTTGGAAAATAATATTAAATTAAATAATTAAATGATGATGATCAAAAATATTGTTTGTCGAGAAGAATATGTACATATCTCTTATTTCTTATTTATTTTTAATTTTTTTATCTCTAATCTAGCCTCATTATTAATATTTAATATATGTACATATTTCTTATTTATATTATAAAAAATTTAGATAACAAAAGATCTGTAATAACTTGAATTCAATATTTAGAAGTTATTTTTAAAAAAAAAAGGAATGATACAGATTTTTGCAAATATTTGCAAGCATAAAGCACCAATCTTATGTGAAGATATATCCATTTTTGCACAATTTAGAAATTTAAAAAAAAAAACAATTGTATTTCTAATTTGAAATATTCACAATAAATACTTCATCATGATATCATGATATTATATGATAATATAATGATAATTTTGACGATTAATGATTTGGCTCAATCGATTTATCTATCCATCTGTCCTTCTTCAATTCGAATCTTTCTAATTCGTCTCATTTCGATCAAGTTAATTACAGTATTTTACAAAAACTCTTTAGTATAACGTAGAAATAAATACACAATGTACACGAAATTACAATATACATGAATACTCTTAAAAATAAATATTCTATGGTAATACGGATTACATTACATGATAAATTATATTACGATGAGTGTAAGTACAAATGTACAAATATTCAAGAGAATCTAGTCTTGACAATTTTAACACGTTCACTGCAGACAAAAATCTTTAATTAAAAATCATTAAAATTATCAAATAATTTTTGCAAAGTCTATTTTTTATGCTATATCATAAAATTTTATAACTAAACTTGATTTTCAATTTGTATCTTATTCTTTGAATCGAA